ACAGGAAAATCATCCCTCAGTAAATATAAATTCACAGTAACACTTTTTTTTAAATAACACCTGGAAGAATTTTTACAACTAAGTAATTTTTCACAATAATAAAGAAAAATTGCTTCAGATTTCCTCTCCCTGGCCCGTGGCTTCCTGCACAAATATATACAACAGTACTTCTGCTCAGCATCATTTATTGACTACTTCCTTCTTCAACAGCATTTAACAAGACTGTCACTGAAAATTCAACATAAGAAAGTAACAGTGGATATAACAGGTTGCCTGGGTAAAAGGAAAGTCATTTTTTTCCTTTAGGCCCTGAAAATCTACCACTAAATCAGGCAGGGGATACACATATGTAACCCCAGCTACTTGGAAAACAGATGCAGAAGGTTATCAAGCTTAAGGCTAGTCTGGGCAAACTAGAAAGACCACCTTAAAATTTAAAAAATAGGAAGGGCTGGGAATGCAGCACTCCCTGGTTCAATTCCTAGAATTGAAGGGGAGGGTTGGGGTTTTTTCCAGTTTATTATTGTTACTACTGTATCTGTGTTTTCTTTTATGACAACAATTTGTTCCTATCTTTTAACTATCCACTAGAATTTGGAGTGATTCTTACCAAAACAACTAGTTTTTAAATTTTTGTCATCTTAATGAATCTTTTATAGAAACAGACCTCAGTTAAACTTACAACGGTGAGAGTCCACTCTGCTAAACCTCTCTTCTCCCTCAAATGGCCTTGGAGGAAGTATGCCAAATACTAAAAACTCTGGTACAAAATTTGAGAACTACTCATTATAGATTGAGATGCTAGGTTTTTATCTATAAAATTAAATTATGGTAAAAGAACTAAATATAAACAATCTGGGACAAAATTCATTTCAACTTGGATTAATACAAATATTTTATTTGACCTAGTTTGTGAGTAACTTAAATAGTAACCTAATCTAGAATAAGCAAAACAAAGTCAAGCTACTTCTGACCCTAATGCTACCTATGGCTCTAGTATCTGTATCTTTCATTTTCCAATATTTGTATTTGTTGACTTAACATCAAAGCTATTCACAATAATGTTTAAGCTATATAAATAACCTTAAACTAATCACTTGATCCCAATTTCAGGCATCACATTTTCTAAAGAATGAAATTGAATAATATGACCCTTGTAGTCATAACAACAAAAACATCTAACTGTTTGCTACAATTTGGATTTTGAATGACTGCTTCCTCCTTCAAAAAAAAAAAAAAGCCCATTTGTCAAAGGCTTGGGCCCCAGGGTAGGATTACAGGGAGGTGGTGGAGCCTTGCAGAGGTGGTAAGTAGCAGGAAGTCTTCATGTCACTGGGTACAGGGGACCGCAATATTAATTATGGCCAAAGCAGGCTGTAAGCAGTGAAGGCTGTAAACAGTTAACTCCTCAACTGGCTCATTTTAAGAAGTGAGTCTGACTGAAGCTTATATGACTTACAGAAGCACCTCATAAGCACTGCAGAAGCGTGTATGTTAGCATGACCTTTCCACTAACGGCCACAGCTGAGATCAAAGTAATGGCCTGTGAAGCTGTGGGGCTCAATATGAGATAACATAGTAAGTGAGATCAGAGTAACTCACATTCAAATTCTATTCCCACAACTAAAACCTTAACTAGAAGGACAAGGTTATAATTGTAACCCTATATTTTGTCTGTTCTGTTCCTAATTCAAGAATGCTTTGTCTTTTCCTTTACAAGCCTTACCTGCATTAATATCCATAGCAACTGCACAACTGCACGTCCTTGCATGTAGCTCCCCTTTAGCACGTAGCTCAAATTTAAGCCAATTTGATTACCAATAAAAATCAGCAGCTTAGACTGACTAGGGCCTTTGCTGGTTGCTCAGCACTGGCCATCCTGGCTCCCCATTTCTCTCTCTCTTTAGTTCTGTCTTAAGAGTTTTTCTTCAACCTTGCACCAGAGCACTGAGAAGGAAACTGGAATCTACCACAGAGCTCTCCTATAACTGGGGGTGTGCCCAAAGAAATGTGTGGTAAGCCTCAGGCTCTTCCTCCTTCTTCTTACTCCCTGGCTCATGATGTAAGGATTTTGTTCTGTCATAAGCTCCTGCCACAATGAGCTGGCTCCTACAGACCCCAAGAAATGGGGCCAACTCATGAGATAGGAACCTCCAAAACTGTTAAGACTGGAGATCTAAAATTTGTTACAGTAACAGAGAACTAATATTAATTCACTAAACTCTGAAGATGTCAACTGCTTCAGACCTACATGATTTTCCTCACAGTTTTCTCTACCAGAAAAGTCCTCCATTGATTACCTAGCAAACTCTGTACACTAAGTCACCTTCACAATGGAATCCACCCTGACAGTCTTATTCACATCATAAGAGATAAGTTAGTCGCTAAAACTTCAAACACTGCTACTATAACACCTATACAAAACTTCTCAGTAAGCATCTCACTATATTGTATTGATACACATTCATCTTAATTTGTGTGTGTTTGTGGTGCTGGGGATTAAACCTAGGGCCTCATGCATGCTAGCCAAGTGCTCTTGCATTCTACACACCCAACCCCTTCATCTTATTTAGTAAATCTCAAATTCCTAACAGAGTGTTAGTACACAGGAGATGTTCAATAAATGTTTACTAAAAAAACTATTTTCTTTCTTACCTTCCTACATAAGTTGCAACTAACCACAGATTATCTTCTTATCTAGGCAAAAAATAAAATTCAAAATGATGCTAAATACATAGTGTATAATATTTAGAGTCATAAAAACTATAAACATTAAGAACACATTTGTATTTTTAATTTTTGAAGCTCAATAATTTTTACTTACTGCCCCTGCTGGAAGTACATAGAAAATATGATTAAAATTTGTTACAAAAACCTATTAAAAGATCTACCATAGAAGGTATATTTCTATTTAGACCACATATTTAAAAATAATACCACTACACTAGGGTTATTCAAGCACTTTTAAGAAGCAGACAATATGACCCACATTTCATATTTAGAACAAACTGCTTTGTAATTTTTGAACCTTCTTAAAATTAGTATTTTTGGGGTTTTTTGGTACCAGGGATTGAACTCGGGACCTTGCGCCTGCAAGGCAGGCAACAGAATCACTGAGCTAAATCTGTGGCCCATAAAATTGAACTAGTTAGAGAAGACAGGCAAATTGTTTCCTATTGGCTGCTATCTCTTAGCAAAAAAAGAACTTTGGGAACAAGGAAAGGGTACATGGGTAGCCACTGCCAAGGTATGACACTGTGCATGAGTAGGAAAAAAAAATCTAAGTGATGAATGTGATTAACATGATGGAAGTCAAGTGTGGAAAAATTTTTGAGAAAGAAGGAATATCACCAAGTTACAGAGGTCATTTAAGATACTAGCTTAAAAATGACCATCAAATGTATAATTAAGGTGCCAAGGGCGAACAAATTTGCAGTACAGTATACTTATTCTACTTTAAGGGGAGAAAAGCTGGCAAATAAGAGTAACTGGATTACACAAAAAGCTTGTTAAGAGTACAAAAGTTGGAGTGGCCAGTGGATAGATATTAAAAAAAAACCATTTAATTGATGAAATAATGTTTATATTCTGAAGGTACACACAATCACGACAAGGGGACCCAAGAGAGACCATTCTTCTTTCAAGAAGGAACGAGCAGAATGGATTCCACAATAACTTACTATTTTCTAATTAAATATTCTGGATCCCAGGGAAACAAAAGGGGTACTATCACTGTACCTAATGGGGTGGCCACCTAGAACATATAATAGAATGCTTACTAGTTCCTGGATTAGAATAAACCAGTATTACAGAATAGCATTTGTTTTACTATAAATTATTAAAATCATAATACATTTATGATTTTATAAATTATTAGTACTACAGAATATTATTTGTTTTAATATAAATTAATATATCCCATTAAAATCAATCCAAATCAACCATATCTTCTCTGGACTAATGTAACAGCCTCCAAACGGATTTCTCACATCTTTTCTTCCACATCTATCCTTCCAATACGTCTCCACATAGATATAGAAAGATCTTTCAAAATGAAAATCTTATCACTGGCACCCTACTACTTAAAATTCTGCTTCCAATTTTCTTAGGAAAAAAATAAAAATCCTTAATCTAGTCTACAAAACTCCATAGTACCTTCCCTGCCTACCTCTCACCCTCACTCTCAGTGTCCCCTCCCTCCCCTCTCCATATCATCGTTACTATGTCTGCACACAGAGCCTTTACAAATGCTATGGCTTCATTGCAGCTGGCTTTGCCCTACTGACTTAGCCTTTAGTCAAACAAGCTGCCCCCTGACCTCCTGGAAGACTTGTTTCAAATTCAGTTAGCCCAGTACTGCCTATCTTTCTTTTATAAAACCTATCACAGCTACAGTTTTACATTCATTAATGATGTTAATAATAATATCACCCCTCCTATCAATTGTAATTGCCTTGAAAATAAAGGGATCATTTCTGGTTTTGCTAACCATGTGTACCCAGGATCTAATACAGTACCTGTCATGTAATATTGGTTGAATGAATGAAAGCAGGAAGAAAAAACACAGTGTATCAACTCTAGCCTTATAGCCTACACAAGAGAAACTGCCAAACTTTAGAATTAACTAATTAACAATTAGAACTAACTAAATGTTGTAAATTTAATAAATACTGGTTAGAATTCTGCTGTCATAAATTTTAGTCTACATATTCTATGAAAATATACAAATAAGAGCAATATCTTTGAATTTCATGAGCTATCTAAGTGTTTTTATATCTATTAGCTCTAAATATTACTGTATTTTTGTAAAAATAGAAGTCATATCAAATGTATATATAAAATTACATAACCATTCCAGGTCTCTTCAAGTCAATTTTTGTTAATGAAAAGGCAGTTTCACAAAAAAGTTTAGAAAAGGTACTAACATATCACATATCACATATTTAACAAATGCCCAAAACAGAATCAATAATAGATTGTTTTAATCACCTGTCACTTACATATATATTTCTTCAAGGTTGTTGGATATATTCACACGTTCTTGCCCTCTAAGCCAAGGAGCACTATAATTGAATAAAACACAATAAAGATCATGGAGGGTTGTGTTTATAATTGAAACATAATTTACTCATTGTTTTGTTTTTTTTCTGAGACAGGGTCTCACTGTGCAGTGCAGGCTGGCCTTGAGCACAATATGCAGCCCAAGCTGTCCTCAAACTCTCCAGAGATCCTCTGCCTCAGCCTCTTGAGTGCTTCGATTACAGGTGTATGCCACCAAGCTTGGCTAGTTTTACTTAACTTTCTAAAAGTACTCATTTTCATTAAAATGTTGTCTTGTACAAATCTATACAGTTCCAAAATACTTTCACTGGCATTAATTTAATCCTCTCAAAAAAAAAAAACCCATGATAAAACCAACACCAGTATTATTCAGTTTTAATTATTTAAAAAACATAAATGACTCCATAAGGTATCATGAACCTACCCAAGTTTTCATATGAGACAGAACAGATTCTGGAATCTAAGTTTCCAGGTTCACAATATTTACCACAATACCAGCAGTTCCCACTGTTTTTCTAACTTATATCTTGAAAATAATTTTAACAAGTAACCCAGCTGCCACGTGACTGTAAAGCAAAAAAACCTCACACATATATAATATATATAAAAGGATACTTATGCTTACAAACATTTTATATTATTTACAATAAAAATTCACAGAATCATTTTATTAGCAATTTTTATGGTTATGATTTTTAAGTCCTCTCTCAAAAATAATACTGTTACTAGGTAAAAATTGTAATAAGATTTTTACAGAAATTTGTTCCCACAGTTCATACATGCTACTACTTTAGGTCAAAGGGGTAAGGCAGATCACATGTCACTTGCATCAACAGGTCATGATTCATAAAGATTAAGCTTGGACTTCTAAGAAAAAGGTTCTTCAATAACAAGGGAGAAGGGGGAGGGACAATCACTAGAAGTACTTCCTGGAAGGTAGGCAGCCTGAGGTTGATGTTCACCAAGGAACTGTGATTAGGTCAGCAGAACCAGGTTAGGAGAAACTCTAAGGGCTAGGGTTTCCAAATCACTAGGCTGAAGAAAGAGGAAGGTTTTCTTCCCCATCTCTAAAGAGAATTCTATAGCTATTTTATCACTATGAAATTCATGATCCTCTTTTATACAAGTAGCATATTTTAAAGTGTTTTCATATCATTTAACTTTTTTACTTAAAAGCTCTATGAAATGTTAAAAGGTACTGTATTCTTAATTTCTATACATCTTAATAAAAAGTATTCTATGTAAGCACAATGCACAGTACAGAGAAATTCTGTGAAAGTATAATCTCTTTATAAAAATATAAATGTAGAAATATGGCTTACTTCAATTGATAAATAGGTGGAGCTGTAGCTGGGTATTCATTCGGCAGCATCACCTATAATGCAGTTTTAAAAAAATCTGTTTATACTTCACTTCATCATGGTTTAAAAATAACTATATTTACATAATGCCAATCATTGAACAAATTTTTAGCTTGCCAAACCCAAAACCAAACCATTGTTTTGTTAGATCTTAAGAGCAAGTCCTCACCTCATATTTATGCTTCTAAACTAGTTGTTAGTGATATTGCCCATATTTTAAGGAAAAGCTAATTATTTCCAGATCACATATAAAAGCAATGAAAGATAGAACAAAAAGGGTAAAGAGACCAGAGATGAAAGGAAAAGGAAAACTGGAACAGGGGCATGATATGCTAATTCCAAATGGACGATGACATTATAATATTTTTCAGATATTTTTTGAAGAAATACTAAAAGAATATTGTGAGATACTGCTGAATATGGTATGTAAAAAGCTAACATATAATAGCAAACAATCCACATTTCTTCTCAAATCAGTATTTTAAAAAATACTGACAAAATTTCAACTTATTAGTATTTATGTTGAAAGTACAGGCAGTCATCAAAGAATAAGCACTAATGAAGATGAGGGGTAGGAGAAATAAGTAGAAAAAAAGATATGCCATGTAGAGGAACCTAATAACCTTAACAAATACAAACATTATATGCCATACCATGAGCAAAAGATTAATAATATCAACGCGAATGAAAATCAGGATAGGGGAACTGGAGGAAGAGGCTGGGAGAGAGAGGTCAGGGGATTAAAAAACAAAATAGCTGTACTAAGTGCATGTACCCTTGCCCAAAGATGACTGTAAACTGCATGTACTGCAAGCATGCACTAATAAAAATTTTTTAAGTACTAACACAGAAAGCCACATTAATTATATCCTAACCACTATTCTCACTAAAGGAATGAGCATCTACTCTATAAATCATCCACATTGTTAACCTATTGTTCCTTATAAACGTTAACCATCTTTCCATTTTCACTCTCTTCTATAAGCTGGATGGAAAAATGAAAGGAAGTGAAACTCAACTCTGTCAATGTCACATTAAGACTTTTAATAATTAAAAGAACGGGTCAAGAAATATTGAAGCAAAATGAAAGCATGATTTGAGGGTGATTTGAGATTTAACCACTCCTGTTTAGATCAGAAATCATGCCGTGACAAAAGCCAGTAACAGTATTTTAGAAAATGCTGTAATTCATGCAAAAATAATCACGAGAATAGTGGTCAATCACATAATTTGAAAGTAGCTGTAGAGAAGCAGGAGAAAAAAAAATACCTGCAAGCAAATTGTCCATTTGGGATGATCTTTGTCATCGCTAACTCTAATACAAAACACTCTGGCCCGTTCATCAACGACACACCATTCCTCGCCATAAATGGCTGCCAGTGCTTCAATTTCTTCATTCTGAAAGATGGTTTTTTAAAGTCAACAAATGTAAATACCCTAAAAACCAGTCCTCGCTATTTTATACGGTATTAGGATTCAACATCACTAGCCTGGATGAAGGATCCCCTGATAAACCTCGGGATGTCATATGTTCATACCTGTGGGTCACCACGTTCTACTTTCCTGAGTGCTTTCCTGACCCTGCTGCCAGGACTGGGACTAGCCTTAGCAGTGCAAGGCTGTGGTTCTGGCCTCTTTTGCAAAAAGATACAGGCACGTTTCTATGTCCTGTCATGAGGTTCATGTGATAAATACATCTTTTCTGACTGGCAATTCTCCCACCCCACGCCCAGCCCTAACAGCCTTGCCACTGTCTCTATATTCTTGCTGGGTATCTAACTTGTTATCTGTTCCTGACATTTTTTTTTTTTTAATTTGGGCCCAAAGCCGATAGAATTTCTTGTATTTTTGGTAATCAAGCCTCAAAACAGTTCAGAAATTATTCTCTTGGTTTGGGATTAAAAGGGGGAAAAAACCTTGCACCTAACGGTGAAAAATGGGACACAAAGTATGCATTGCATTCGACTTTACAGCATCTCATTTTGCCCTCGTGGCCCAGTAGGAAAAGCCACATGAGCCCCCACGTGAACTAAGCCCAGGCGCAGGTTCAAAACCACGAAGACGGTGACATTCGGTGGGCGCGCGAGCGAAGTCAGGGGTCTGAGTGACCCTAACTGCAAAGGCGAACACGGGCTCTTAAGAGCCCAGTCTGAGGTGACTCGGCCGCTACAGGGCCTGGGACGGACCGAGTTTCAGCCTGCGGCCAGGAGCGGCCCAGGGTCGTGCTGATGACTAATGAGGACACCGCCCGACGAGAGACCGGCGCACCAGCACGCGGACTACAGCGCAGCCGGGCAGCCGCGCTGATGCGAACTCGAGGGCCCCGGGCGGAGCAGGCCCAGGACGCAAGGCGAGGCCGAGCTGAGTCTGGAGGATCGGCGCCCCGCCGCGGCCTCACCTGCCTCTGGTCGTTCCCTGCGTTCCTCTCAGCCATGTGGCCCGGGAGCGGAGTCGCTACCTCCCACTGCCCCGGTCCGGCTGCTGCGCGGCCGACCCGGAACCCCAAACCCCAGCGCTGCGCCACCCGCAACTGCTTCCGGGTTGCGGGACAGATTGGGCGCCAGAGGCTCGCTCACTGCGCAGGGGCTTCAGCCTGGGGCCGCCCTCCCGGGCCTGGCGCCCGCCCGCTCGCTGCAGTGCGCCAGCGACCCAAGGGAAACCCGGGAGCTGCAGGAAGCCTTCTGCGCTGTGCGGTCTGGAATTTCGCTTGGGCTGGGGGCTTCCTCTCCCTCACTGCGGCTGTCACGGTGGGAACTCCCTGTGGACTTGGGGACTCGGGATCAGCAGCCCGTCCAGGAAAGGACTCGACCGCAGTCCACAGCCTCGGACTCGGCTTTATGTTTCAAGGCAGGGTTTTGGTGTTAACATATTTAACTTGTCTGATTTAGGCAAAGAGGAAAAATACAACTCCCAACCTGTTAGATATGCAGAATTCGTGGTCTCACAACATCAAAGAATGAAGTCCTGAACCAAAGGAGGAAGTTAGGAGTTTTATTAGAAATAAGGGGAATAGGTCTTGGGTTTCCAGGAGGGGGTCCTGAGTGGGTCAGACTGCAATCAACATATAGGATTACAAGTATAGACGCTTAGCTAATAGAGATTCAATAGGGAAACAAGTCATATAGCAAGGAACATGCAAAGAACAAAGGCATTTTGGGGAAGGGAGGAGAGTATGCGTCCTAATGCTCTGGTCACATGCCATGTGTCTGATGCCTATCTGGCCCCACTGGGCCAGGTGGTGCTGATTACAGTATAAGCTCAAGCTGTTTATGTGTAGGAAGGCATGCAGACATGGCTGTTCAGAGTCAACACCAGCCACAATCTTTGTATCTCATCTTCGGTGCTGACTTCCCAAGGGCCCAATCTCACTGTGACTGCGTATTAATTTTTATCTAACTTAGCTGCCTATAATACCTGAACATTTTTCCTGACAACATTATACCACCAGCATATACAACATATACAACCAGCATATGGATCATTGTTTCATTGTGAGAAAAAAAAAGTTAAATCAATTTGTCATTTCTTCCCCACCTCAATACACAGATTAAATGTCACATTCCAACATATTGGCTATGAATTTTATCAGTCGCCTAATTCAAGATACCTCAATTAAGACATTCATCCTGTTGCTTGGGAGACACTCCACCCCATTCTTCTCATGCAAGTACACACACAAAAACAAAGAAAAACAAAGAAATATACCACATCTTACCTTTCTCTTCTCTTCTTTAATCATGAGCATTTTCCAGCCCCTTATAAAGCTTTTCTCAGATTAAGGGTGCACTGCCAAAGTACCTGAAGTTATTAACTCAGCAGACATTTCTGAAGCTCTTACTGTGCCAAATATTGGACATGCAAAACCAAATGTCACATATTGCCTTTAAAAAGCTAAGATATGTGGGGACAAAAGTAAATCAACTATTAAAATGGACTAGAAGTGTATCCTGTTGTGTTAGTGGTACATAGAAGAGCTTGAAGCTTTCTGCAGTAATCTATTGTTAAGTAGCTGTTATAGCTTGTGTCTAGATGTCCCCCCAAAGATTTATGCAGTCATAGGTGGGGCTTTTCAGAGGTGGCTGGATGTAGATTGTGTGACATTGGGATTGACTCATGGGTGGGGTAGCCTGGACACAATATAAAGGACAGAAAGACTCTTGCCACTTGCTACTGGTGACTTGCTGTGCTGTCTTCTGACTGCCATGAACTGTTTCTCCTCTGTGATGGCCCTCTTCCATGTCACCCTGCCTTGGAGGCAGACAACTATGAGCTGAAATCTCTACAAACTGTGAGCTGAAATAAATCTTTCCTCCTTTAATTTTGGGTGTCAGGTTAGGGCTCAGTATTGTTCATCACTGTATTCCAGCATCAAAAGCAGTCTTGGCGTATCGTTCATACTCAAAAAATGTTAGTTGAGTGGTGCCTAAGTTAGATGGTTGGGAAAAGGGCTCATCTGGAGGTGAGAGAGAGGGAAGGGAAATAAGAAAGTATCAAAGCACACCCCTGATGGTACCTCCATTTCAGGTCATCTCTGGGGTTGCCATGTCTTAGGCCAGTGATAGCGGACCTATGGCACCCATGCCGCAGCGAGATGTTTATTAACCCTGAAAGCTCTAGACAGCTCGCCATCACTGTCTTAGGTTATCTGTGATAGCATATCTGATTTCAGTAGGTAAAAAACTGCTAACAAGAATGAATGGCCTTTTGAATTCTAATTAGTGCTGTGTCATGAGATTGTGAAATGTTAAACTCTAATTTACTCTGTTGGGATAGATACAGAAGATATTCTAGCCCTCGCCTATTTGGATTGTTTTGACTTCCAGAAAACAGACCATGAAAAAAACAAAGTCTTTCCTTCGCCTTCATACAATGACCATCATGAAGTGTCTTCTCAGAGCTGGTTTTAATTTCCAGACTGAAGATTCCTCCATGTATGAAAAGAATGTCATTGCATATGTTTCTTTTCCTCTCACCAAAGTACTTTGATATGTCTAAATATCAATCTGTACCTTCCTCTTACCTTCAAATGTTGCTGGTAATTCTTGGCATCCCTTGGTTTGTTGCTACTTCACTCTAGTGAGGCACGTACTAGTCTCCCTTTGGAGCTGTTTTCTTTACTTAGAAGCACACCAGTCATGTTGGGTTGGGTGAACCCTACTCTAGTCATTTAGGATGAAAGTATACAACCTCATGTTAATATGATTACATCTGAAAACACCGTATTTCCAAATAAGGCCACATTCAGAGGCACTAGTGGTTAGGATCTCAAGATATCTTTTTGGAGGAGTTTTATAGAAAAACTCCCTACAGTGTTTCATACAGTGGGTAGTGTGAACTTGTACTATCTAACTTAGCTGCTGTTTTTTGTTGCTTGCTACATAGAAGTTTCGTAATGGTTAGACAGATGATATTAGTAATACCCAGTTCTTATCATTTGAGAACTCCCATGTGAAAACTCAGGGACTGCTGTGTATTAAGAACCACATTCTCGATTTATCTGTTTTTATAAATGTAAATGGGAAACCAGTTTTTCCTTTTTCAACTCGGGTGACCTACTTAGTCATCTAAAGCTCGTCCTCAGGGACCCTCGGCCCCGGTTTCATCTGCCATGCCCTACGTAGTATGTCAAGCGAGTCTGGCTCCTAAAGCCACTCACTAATATTTCCATTCTCTCTCCTCTTCCTGCTGCTGCTGTTCTATAATTACTTTCTTTCTTTCTTTCTTTCTTTCTTTCTTCTTTCTGTATATGAGAATGATAATAATAGTGTTTATTTCTTATGATTATTTTTTAAAATGAAATAATCTTCATGAATGATTTAGCACATAGCACATGGCATGCTCAGAAGACTTAACAGAGATTAAGCAAGGGGTGATTTAACAAAAGAATGTTACTGAAGGGCCAGGGATTTAGCTCAGTGGTTCCGCTGCCTGCCTCGCAAGTGGAAGGACCTGAGTTCGATCTCCGGTACCGAAAAAACAAAAAAGAATGTTACCGAAGAATGTACAATACTAAGGGACCCAACAAGAAATAGAAAGCAACCAGGGACGAGTAGCTGCAGGAAGCCTGTTGAGACTTCCAGGATTGAAGGGAAGAACATTTCTGGAAGCCAGCCAGAGCTAGAGCTATAGAATAGAAACTCCTCAAGAAAAGCGATGGCTGTAGAAAAATGCAGCCCCTGCCAGAAATTATGGATAAAGTATCTACAGGGAGAAAGTGACAAAGTGTCAGTGGGCATTGGGAGGATAAGGTGGTACCTGTACACCTCCACTCTCTCTCTTCTCATTCATACCTTCCTGCTGGTACCTCTCATCCTCTGACCCAGCTGGGAAGCCAGAGGCTTAGGAGGCCCAGTTAGTTGCATCCCTAGGGACCAGTCTCCCAAGACACAGAGCAGAGGAGGGCAGGGCATGGATTGAGAAGGCAAATGGACATTTCCATACAATCAGTCTGGAGTGTAAAGATATTGAGACAACAAAAATGGGTGGGTAGAAGTGACACAAAGCACTTCCAGTCCATGCACAAGATCTCTAGTGCAGTCACTCACGTGCTCCCCACTGCTGTCACCCTTGAGGCCATGCATTCACAGAGGTGGTGCTTGCAGTGGAAGGAATCTGGGTCTTGGAATGGCTGTGCAGTGTGCCACACTGCACTGGATATGAAGCCGTGAAGATTCTAGTCTTGTTTCACTTGGAGTGAAGGTGAGGAGTGGGAGAGATGATTAACACTGATGACTCTCCACTGGGCCTCTCCCATGTTTCGTCTCTCTCCTGAACTTCTGAGCATTCGCTCTTTCTAGAAGATATTTACAAATGGGTATTTCATTTTATTATTTTTGGATTTTTGATACAGGGTCTCGCTGTGTAGTTCAGGCTGGCATTGAACTCACTATGTAGCCCTGCTGGCCCTTGGTGCTGGGATTATAGGTATGTACCACCACACCTGGCTACAAATGAATGCTTTAGATGTCTGCTCTTAAATGCAACATTTCACAGCCAAATTCCAAACCTTCCCCAAGCTATCTTGCTTTCATGTATGCTCTGCATTTCCATCTTATTTATTCATTGTGTAGGTCATTCAACAATATTGAGACTTGATCTGTGCCTTAATCTGAGCTATATATTGAAGATATAAAAAAAAATAAGACATGTTTTTAAGAAGTCCATTGTCTGCTAGAGGTATTTATGTCAAAACACAATCCCTGAGCATAGTTGTATGTCCTTTGGGTCCTTTCCTTTATACCTCATATTGAATGAGTCACAAGCGTCATATTCTTCCTTGGAAGTGCTGAAATTCTCATAGAGTTATGTTTGAACAATAACGCTATTCTGCTTGTGGCCTCCACTATTCTTTCCTCATTCCAGTCTATCCCTTGTATCCTCTTGTTAGACTAATGTTCCTCAAAAATTACTTTATTCAGAGGTGGTTTTTTTTTTTTTTTTCAGTGCTGGAGATTGGACCCAGAGCCTCACACATGCCAGGCAAGTACTCTACTCCTGAACTGCACCCCCAGCCCCTCCTTAGGAATATTTTAAAGTGGTTTTTTTTTTTCTGGATACTGAATCAAGTCTCAATTCTTGGCTTCCGAAGATCTTCAGAACAGCTCTCCTAATCCAGCTATTTAATGTCACACTCCCATGCACCGAGACTCTCGTAATTAGGAGGCCCTGTCTGTTATTGCTGTACTCCTCCATCACACCGGCCCCTTCCCTTCTATTCCAGCTGCTCATCCTGGTTCAGGCCCTATGGCTTCACACTTAAACTACAGCAAAAAGTTCTTAGCTTGTTCTCCCAACTATGTGCTTTTCCTTTCCACTCATCCTGCTCCTGGTAACAGATCTCCCTCACAGAAACATCTTCTGTTCAAAAGCTTCTCCATCTTCTGTATTTTCATGCTCAGCAAATAGCACCTCTATAAACCAATTGCCAATACCAGAAACTTAGTACTTCCTTTGCTCTTCCTTGTCCCTCCCTCACCTCTCTCATGCAACTAATCACCAAATTCTTTCTGATCTTTGAACCCATTCTCCACGTAGCTGCCTAGGTAATCTCTTTCTATAATGGAATTATAATCCTGGCACTCTGCTGCTTAAAACTTTTTGAGTTCTAACTCCATGGCCTTGAGAATGAACCTCAAAATGCACACTGTAAAGGACCTGCACAATGTGGCCTCCTGTTGCTCTCTCCTGTCTCATCTTCTCATCCCATCTATCCCACTGAACAAATTTCCCTTCACCTGAGGAAGCACGTGCTCACTTACCTATAGTCCTTCTCACATGTTATCTTTGAAATTGGAGTTGGGAAGTCCTCCTGCCTCTCTTTCCTCCCACCTCTCACCTACCACACATTTTTGAACTCAGCTGCTTTCAGGCATTACTGTGTCTTTCTTCACCCTTGGATTGGCAGCACCTAGCACAATGCCTGGCACCTATTAGGCTCCCTAATCAAAGAAGTTAAGTAGATTGTTCACAAGCTTATAGCTGGCTAAGAAACAAAGAGTGGGATTTGATATACTTCTCTGATTTTAAATTGTGTGGACATTCCATTTCCCTACATTGCTTTCTAATTCACATGAAACCTCTCTGACATAATCTAACATCCCTGTTCATTCATTCCACAGATATTTATTGATTTCCTAACCTGTGCCATGTATTGTAATATATAGAGGGAGTAAACTAGCCAAGGGTCAGTGGTATATAGGTGTAATACCAGCTCTCTGGGAGGCTGAGGTAGGAAGATTACAAGTTTGAGCCCAGCCCAGACAACTTAGTGACTTAGGAAGGGCCTGTCTCAAAAGAAAAAAATTAAAAAGGGCTAGGGATGTAGCTCAGTGTAGAAGCCCTGGTTCCAGTTTCCAGTACTGCAAAAGAAAGGGGGAGAGGAGATAGACTAGTGAACAAGTTGTTCCCTGCTTTCAGTATCATCTGATTAAAATATAGATGAATCAAGGCATTTGTAGCACACTGTGATAAATGCTTTCTTGAGAGTAAGCACAAGGTAAAAGAAAACCAGGATGGGTCACAGGAGGTCAGGAAGACCATTGGAGAAGAATGAGACTTCTCTCCAAGCTCAGTGTGTGAAGCATAAACAAAGACAAGCAAAGAAGCTGGAGAAGAGTCCAAGGCACAAGTAAGCAACATGTGCAAAGGCTCTGAAGCATCAGAGGCTGTGTCAATAAAAGTTGAGAGCTGATGATTGCTGAAGTGTAAAATACGGTGGCAACACTGCAGAGAGACAATGTGGATACAGGCAGGGCCTTATGATGTTAAGAAATGCAGACTACGTCCCAAAGGCTATTCAAAGGCAGAGTTAAATCTGAAGGAAGAGAATGGGTTGACTAAATTTAAATCCTCTGTTGACTCTGTTTACATCCTTTGTTGATTAAATTGGAAAATCCTCTAGCTACAAAGTATAGGTTAGGGTTAAGAGGAATAGCAGAAAAGGTAGAAGGGAGTCAAGAATGCTTATCTCCAAGAAAGAACAAAGAGGAAAGCGAGTTTAGGGGGAAGGAGAAATCCTCCTTTTGGTTGATTAATTAGTATGTAGGTCAGGAACTGAGGAGTGATGTTGGGTTCTGAGATTTGGGGACATGACCATGTATAGAGTTATCACAGTCATGGGAGCATATGAGACTCTAAGAAGAGTCTAAGGAGAAGTAGAATTTAAGGCAGAACTGGTAACACCTAGGGGAAGAGCCAAGGACAAGAAGCTCAGGATGCTGGGCATGGTGGCACACACCTGTAATCTCAGGACTTGGGAGGCTGAGGCAGAAGGATTGAAGCAAGTTTGAGGCCAGCCTGGAGTACATAGTGAATTCAAGGCCAGCCTGAACTATGTAGCAAGGTGTCGTCTCAAAAGAAGAAGAGGAAGAGGAAGAAGGAGTAGGAGACCCAGAATCACGATCTCAGGGAAACTGAGGGAAGAGCATTCCTAGAAGGATGAAGGGGTCACCAGTGTTGAGTTCGGGTGGAAGGTCAAATCAGGTAAAGACCTGTAAAGGTCCACCGGATTTTAGGTCCTTCATTGTCCTCAGTGGGAGCAGTTTCAGTGGAGTAGTAGGAGTAGAAGCCGGAGTGGAGAGAGTGTGGGAGTAAAGAGGCCAGTGTAGACCACCCTTTCAAACAGTTTAAGTGTGAAGGGGGAAAGAGAAAGTGTGCTTGAAGGAGTTCACCACTGCCATCCTAGGCTGACCAGAGAGCATTTTAAGTCTCTTCCATCACTCTCTGCTTTTACCCCTGCTAAAGATGTATAATCATGTGACCATGCCCCCCCCCATCCCATCATTCCTAGCCCCGCTCCTGACAGGCAGCCACCACTCCTTGTGCTTTCTCAAGCCCTGTCTCTGGCAGGCAGCACAACTCCTTTCCACTCCACTCCCCCCCTCGAAAGTCCCACGTTGCCCTTTTCCTTTCACAGCCCCCTCTATGTTCATGACCTTGTAAAAGACCTCACAGCCTGGGGGCCAGGGGTTTAGCTCAGTGGTTCCGGCTCCTGCCTCGCCAGTGCAAGGTCCCAAATTTGATCCCCAGTACCAAAAAAAAAAAGAAGGATTTTACAGCCTATACGAGGAGGAGTTACTGGTCTGGGTCTAAGTACCAGGGTGGTCCCTTTTAGGTTTGTTCTGAAATAAACCTGTCCTGTTGAGCTCATATCTTTGTTTTTTCCTCTAACAGTCCTATCTGGCAGGAGGATTTCTAAATGATGGCAGAGATTGAAGAACATTTGTGCCGATGGTACAGCTTGAGGGTGTTTGAAGATCTAGGAGAGAGGTTGCTGAGGAAGTGGAAGGAGGTACCATTAACAGCAGTAGAGGCTCTGGCCTTACACAGGAAGGGGACGTCTTCCTTTTTAACAAAAAGCAAAAGGAAGCAAAGTGGATGCCGGTCAGGTTTTGGAGAACGTTCATAAGTTGGATTCGTTCTAAGTCTGACAAAGTGACTCTTATACACCTCTGACGCACATATATAACTATGTTGCTTGGTACTTCCTAGCAGTGCCTTCCACATCACTGCTGCTTTCCTCTTGCTTCCAGATTCCCCGGACTCTGACTGAGCTCCGTGCTACGGTACACCATCGCACTGTGCAGTGAGCACACAGCCATACAACTGTGATAGTCTGGCAGACACGTGAGCTACTTCTGCAATTTGTTCATAATTCAAGGTCCTTTCCAATCCATGAAAGTTCACAACTCAAACGTTTGAAAGTCAGGGACTTACTGTAGTTTAGTTATTATGAGTATACAGTCAGAGCAGCCAGATAAAAGAAAATAGCCCACTGTGAAAGACTCACACATATTATAGTCAAGCTTAGAAACACAAAAGAAAACACAAGAAGAAAGGATAAGAATAGGGAGATAAGAACTCTTTCCTTCCCAGAAGATTCTTAAGCAGAGAACACTAAGCTAGTTAACAGCTCTAACAGCTCCTTCCTGCCTCCTGGAATTTCAACCCAGTTTTGAGAAATAGTAGAAATGGAAAATAACCAGTTTCTTTTGAACTCATTTCCTTTGAAACAAGCCTGTTCCTGGGCTCTACTTATTCATACAAGAGTAGGGCAAGGACCACAGTTTGAATTTCTGCCTGGAATCCCCTCGAGATAGACATCTATCATGAGCTACTTCTTATTATTATTTCCAATCAAACTCTTGACTTTCTGTGATAGTTAACTGTGATGTCAACTTGAGTAAGAAACACACAGTTAATCAGCGTAGTGTAGCTCTGGGTGCTTCTAAATAATGAACTTACTGAAGAGGAAAGACAGCCTGGCTGTGGGAGGCACCAGCCAATAGGCTTGTAGCTTGGATGGAATAAAAAAGGAAAGAAGAAGGAAGTCTCGCTTCTGGTTTTTTTGTTGTTGTAGTTTGTTTGGTTTTTTTTTGGTACCGGGGATTGAACTTGGGTCCTTGCACTTGTGCAGCAGGGAGCGAAACCAGTGAGCTAAATACCAGGCCCCCACACTTCTGTTTTCTTTGGAGGAGCTCCAGTCTTTGCCATTGCTTTTGGATGTCCATCTCCAGGCTTCCAGTGCAGACTCTTCAGCCTTGCAGTGCAAACTCTTTGCTGGTTTCCAGATTCAGACTCACATGGGACTCTGCAGTGAGCTCCAGGCCTTTGATTTTTGATTGGATCCTTTGAATCTCTAGTGCACCTTGGCACTGTTCCACATCTGACTCTGCAGGTGGCCATTGGAAGCCTACCTTGTAAATCTATACATACAATGCCTTGGTTCATGATCACTTCTGTTTGCAAACAATTCAGTTTGAAAAGACAAGAATTCAGCAAAATTTTGCTTCCATTTGCAATCTCTGTATTGGGTGACAAACACGACCACAGCCATCTTCCCCACACAAACACAAATGCAGCCGTCTTCCCTCAAATCGTAAAACAAATGAAGTTCATAAACCAACATACCACTGGATATACAACATATCTATCTATATATCTTATATTAAATCAGTTTCTCTAGTGAGCATTGGCTGATACACATCCTTCTGTGGTTCTCCATTACATTCTTTGATTTCATGAACTACGTTAAATGACTAATCACATTCTGTGCTCTAATAGTCTTTATTCCAATCTCCTTCCAAAGGCAATCCTATACAACATCATATATATTTGTAGATCATTCAAAAGTCTATTTCTAACCCTGAGATTTTTGTCCAAAGTCTACTATATTTTCAGTTTTGTTTTGTTTTGTTTGGTACCAGGGACTGAACTCAAGACCTTGCACTTGTGCAGCAGGTGTGGCACCACTGAGCTAAATCCTTGGCATATGTTTTCAGTTTTTGATGCATCTCTCAAATTTACTGTGTCGAAGTTATTCATTTTCCATTTCCTGATGTTTCCTACCCAAAGCTGAGGCTACTCCCATTTCTAAATATTTTCTATTCTAGCCTTTCTGTACCTAGTTCTCCCAAATACTTTAGAATTTATTTTATTTACCACTTTTGGGTGTTACTATGGTTTTTGTTAGTTTTTCATCATATTTTTGGTCTTCCTAATTAGATTTCAGACTTCATGAGGCTGGGAATTTATACATAAATGTTCACCTCTTTACTGCATCTCTTCTTTCTCTAATCTTTTTCTCTTGCCTAAGCTCCCTCTATTCACTTTCAAAAATATTAGCTACCGGCAGAGGGCAGTAGGGAGACCAGAGAAAATACAGATCGGGAGGACACAGGTTTAACAAAGTTGATACTGTAATAGGAGTTACAAAGATTACTCTTTAGCTTCATAGAAATGGTTGTGACTTGCTTAATTCCAGCTGCTAAATTTTAAAAGAGAATAGTAGTATGTATAAGAACGATATGACCAGCCAGGGTAGGATGACAGGTTGGAACATCTGAAATGTAAGTATGAAAAAAACTCATGTTAATGATATTTAAACTTTTAGAAGATTGGCTGTGAAAGAAAACTGAGTTTATTCTGTTTCAGCTTTCTGTTGTTTACCAAGGACTTACAAGTGAAAATTATGTGGAGCTAGCATTTGCCACAGTAAGAGAAAATTCTAAATGTAATGATGTTGCGGGGAGTGGTTTGGGCCACACTGTGAAGTCCTGACCTGCCAGGCTGGAAAGTTCCCAGCCTTAGGCTGAGGGACTACCTCTTCAGTATGTAGTTGAGGACAATCTAGCTTCAGGCTTGAGGTTGGACTATACGATTTGTCATGATTGATGCTTCCAAATCTAAGATCTATGAGCCCATAATTTGATCCACACTTCCAATTCAGGCCAAAGACTCTCCCATCAAATCCTCTCCCTTAGATCTTTGTGACTCTAGTGGGTGAAGGAAAATCACATATTATAGTAACTCATCCAGAGTGAGCCTTTTGTGCCAGTGTGGTGGCGCATGTCTATAATTCTAGTATTCTGCCAGGCTCATGAAGGAGGATTGCAAATTTGAGCCCAGCTTGGGCAAATTAACAATGTAGAGAGACCCAGTCTCAAAATAAAAAATAAAAAAGGATTGGGGATGGTAAAGGCCCTGGATTCAATTTTTAGTACCAAAAACCAAAAGCAAAACAAAGTTGGTTGTATCAGGCGCTGAGAGGTAAGTCAGAAATCAGTGGTAGGGATTAGCAGAGGTCTGGAAGAGATGTATTTTTGATGCCACAAACAGCAAAGAGACCCTGAAGAAAGAGATGGCTACTGAAAAGAGAGGAGGAAATGTTGACAGGATTGATGGTTGGAGAGTAAGAATGGGAGAGATAAAAGCCACTTGGGGAGTGAGAAGTGTTGTGTTGGGTTATTTCTGGGCTCAAGGAATAGGAAAACACTCAGGTTATCTCAGGTAAAGTGCAGAAATTTAGGCAGCCATCCAGAGAAATAGAAGATATCTATCCTCCCCTGGAAGGCAGCTGAAGATGTAGCTGCAGCCGTGACATCATAGCCTCTTCCAAAGGAAACATCGCGGGCTGCCCCCTCCTTGGCCCGTCGTCTGCACATGCTGGGAGTAGTCTCTCTGCTCTTGCTCTGCAGCCCTGTCATGGCCTGGGTCTAAGTGTCCCCCCAAAGTCTCATGCAGGTGTGGTGGGGCTTTTTCAGAGATGGCTGAATTTAGAGTATGTGATTGCTTTATGGTGCAATGCTAGGTTCAAGGGCACTAGGATTAAGGGTGTGAGCGCTTACCTGTTTTAAGTAGTCTGGATAAGATAAAAGGGGCACAAAAAAGCTGTTAAGGTCCCTTGTTGCTTTTGCTGTCTTTGACTGCAAGGAACTATTTTCTCCTCTTCGAAGCCTCTCTGCCATGTGCCATTCTGCCTTGGATCCAGCCAACTGTGGATTGAAACCTCTCCAAACTGTAAGCTAAATAAACCTTTCCACCTTTAACTTTGAGTGTCGGGTATTTTGTCTCAGCAATGAGAAAAGTAACTAAGGCAAGCTCTGATCATGTTTCTTTTTTTTCTACTCTCATTCCTTTTGTCCCAGGGTTCCCACTTTCTTTCTACTCTCACTTCCCTCTCCAGGCCTTTGTGCATCTATGCTGGGCAAGGACTGTACTTTGTATGCCTTGCAGTCAAATATAACCAAGAGAGAAATCTAGATGATTTGCTCATACTCAATGCAGAACTTTTCTGTTGGGCAGAGCGGGTGTATCAGACCGTGAGCAAGCCTATCAGAAAGCTGTCATTTAGTTAAGCCTGGTCATGCTCCATCTGCTAAGCCAATAAAAATAGGCCACGTAAGGAAGCCCTCACAAGTGGCACTTAGCTGGGAAGACATTCTGAGACTTCCAGAGGGGTAGTGTAACTGTCCAGGGACACTCCTTCACTAGATGATATGGATGGAAAAGCAGGGTGTACTCATGATGAGTGAAGCTAAGAGTTAAAGGTGCAGCTGGAAATATGGCCTAAGGAGCCCTTGCCATATGGGAACTGCCAGGAAAGATTGTCTTCTTCATCTTTGTCTCTTTTGGAGAAAAGTGAGGGAAAAAATAATTGGATTTTTCTCCCTCCAGCAGTAGTAGCTTGGAAGAACTGTAGACCTCTCCCTCTGCCAAGACCAGAAGTGCCCTAGTTCAGCCTTCTCCATGCCTGATTTTCAGCTGTTTCTTTGGTATCTTTGCAGTACAATCCCTATTTGCTTATGTTAACCATTGTCAGTGTTTGCAGCTTGCAACCAAGAAATTCAAGTCACAGGGTCCTTTCTAAACTTTTTGTGTGAGGAGCCAGCAAAATCAATCATTTGTGTGTCACAACCTTAGGAAAAGATTGAGACTGGTACCTAAATCCAAGTCAAAAGAATTTAATATCTGAAATACACCGGGTCCTTTGGTTATGGTGGAGGAATTGGCACACCTGAAAATAATTTAGTCAGCTTTTAAGAGAGAAAACCCCCAATGACTTCCTAGCTTCAATGTTCGGGAGTTAATAGCTGCAGTGTATCCAATATGTAGGCGTAAGGATGGTTAATTTCCTCCAACTCAACAATTTAACTGGATTTAACTGATGACTCTGACCTACTTTTCAGCATTCCAGGCAGTAATTACCTGAAACCATCCCCAAAGTCTCAGTCCATAAAATCCTCCTTTTTTCTTTTTTGGTACTAGGGATGGAACTCGGGACCTTGTGCCCGTGAGGCAGGCGGTGGAACCACTGAGCTAAATCCCCGGCAAAATCCTCCTTTCAATAAGAGTTTAACAAGCGTTTAGCCTGCTCCTATAGTACTTCAAAGTCACATTGGCCCCAGGAGAGTGTTTTTAAAACATGCAAGCACAAAGTGCATTCTGGGGTGTTTCAGGCTTAAGACAAAAACTGTGGGACCACAAACATTAGATACTATGATCTGAGGGACTCGAATTTCTGGATGGAGTTGGTGAAATGTGGGGAAGGGATAGTGGTAGACAGGTAGGCAATCCTAAGAGTCACAAACAGAAGACTCCAATGTGAATCCTGTCTGAACCAGGCAATGGGTAATTCTACTGAAGCCCATCCTTATCTAAAGTTGCCTGGGTGACTTCAGTTTTGGTCAGCAAGCATGGAAATGGCAGGGCCAAGGGTTAGTTACTCTCAAATCCCTTTCCCACCCATCCAGAGCTTCCATTCTATTTCTACTTACATTGTAGATAGGGATTATAGTTACTATAATACGCCCCACCTGCAAAGTTAAAATGTCAACATGCTTATATCTCACAAAGAAGTGTAGAGAGCAACATTTATTAAGTGGTTCTAGAAGTTTTACATCTGCTAGGCGTTCCTCAAAATAGAGTGTGGCATGATTGGGGACAATATAGTGATCACTTCGTAATTCTAGAACTGTACTGTCCAATGTGGTAACTACTATGTGTGGCTATTTAAATTTAAATTAATAAAACTAAAACCTCAAAATTTCCATTACACAAGTTGCGTTTCAAGTGCTCAACAGCCACATGTGGCTAGTGGCACCTCTGTGGACAGAAAGAATTATAGAACTTTTTCATTGGGCAGCAGTTTTCTAGAATAATGAATAGCTCATGCCGTCATTGTGTGTGTGTGTGTGTACCTGTAGTAGTCAATAATAACAATGCCCAAGAGATATTTTCTACTACTCTTTATGCAAATACTAAAGAAAGTCTGACAAGTACAGTAATTCTACCAAGATGGATCATTCTTTCATTGATACTTGTAATGATTAATTCTTTATCATTCTGTTAGCGAGGGGGTTGTATTTTATTTATAAACTGAAGAAGAGCGTTGCAAAAGTGAGAGTCCTGAATCTAGGCAATTAAGTCATCACAGTGATAGTGAACACTTTCATGAAATCATGTGGAAAATTATTTCAATAGGGTTTTTTTTTTTGGTACCAGGGATTGAATTCAGGACCTTACAATTTCGAGGCAAGCGCCAGAACCACTGAGCTAAATCCCCGGCCCTGAACAGTTTATTTTAGCCGTGAAGAGGATTCAGTACCTTTAAAAAATAAGTCCTGAGGTTTCTTCGGAGACAAATGACTGCCTTACTACACATTTTGTAGTTGAAATGTTGTGCTATGTAAGTGCTTGTTTTGTTAATAAAAGACGATGTGGGCCTGTAATACCCAAGCCAAGGGTGATTGTGTTTCCCAAACCCATCATTTAAAGCACCTACCACATGATGTATTACAGGTAGCTCACCGACCAATTGGCTTATTACAATTAATCCATACATTTTTCTACAGTTGGATCGACTTAACTACAGCTCCTTTAAAAATGATACCTATGTATTAATTTTTTATTGCAAACTAACATGTGCATTAAATATATTTGTAAAATTCAAAAACGTACAAAGCTTTTTCATATCTTCGTAATTTCCTCTTCTTACTTATGCATGAATCTTCTTTTTCTTTTTTTTTTTTGGTACCGAGAATCGAACTCGGGTCCTTGCGCTTTCGGGGCAGGCCGCAGAACCACTGAGCTAAATCCCTGGTCCCTGCATGCATCTTTTAAAGTAAAAGTTGTAATTCTATTTATGTTTGAACCTTTACTATATGCTAACTCCTCAGGCTCGGCTTGTTACGCGTCCAGAATGAAAACGTGGGTTCTTTGGGAAAGATTGTTCAATGCGGGAATCGAGTGAAGGACATTTCTGTAAATCCTCATCTACTGCACAAGTTACACCTGTATGACATCTAAAGCCATTTTTTGACGAGGGAAAGAAAAAGAGGCGTAACTAATTTACGTCGTCCATTACGTTCCCAAGGGTCGAGTTGAAACCAAAGCAAAAAGGCAAAAAAAAAAGAGGTTTGGGCACCTGAGTGATGCATTTGTTGTATAACTAACTTGCAGTTACAATCAGTCTTTATACAGTATTTGGCTTCTGCTCGGGTCTTCCTGTCCTGGGGCATTGCTGTCCCTCGCAGTGTGCGCCCCTCCTTTCTCCCAGGGGAGGGGGCGTGGCTAATCCTGGAACCCAAGTCTCCGCCCAAGCCTGACGCGGGCGGGATGGGGCGTGGGCGTGTTGTGGGGGCGAGGACGCCAGCCGGTCACGTGCCGCGCCGGACGCCAACAGTTCGGCGGGGACGCGCGCGCGTGGTCAAGCGGGCGGGACTGCATCGCCTCGCAGAGCCGCGGCCGCCCTGTCGAATGGGGCGGGGAGACGGGGAAACGGTAAGCAGTGGTCGTGATCCCCGGCGCAGGCGCCCAGGTGACCGCGGAGCTCAGTGTGTTGCCCGGGGTCCGAGGCGGGCGGAGTCGTGGGCGCGGAGGCCCGAGCTCGGCTTCCCTGGCAGCTGCGGCGGCCCCGGCCCTGCAGGAAGTTAGTTGCCAAAAGTCACGAGCCGGTGGCACTTGTTGCACTTCCACTCCGGACGCTGCTCTCGCGCGTGCGTCCGCGTCCTCACTGTGCGTCCCTCGCGTGGGGAGGGCTGACGGGCCGTGGGAGGCACGCGTGGTTCCTGTGCACGTCTTTGGAGAGTCCCGCGTGCTTGGTTCTGCAAACGTGCAGGAGATCGAGGGGGATTCAGGAGCGGCTCAGCCGGTGGCCCTAGTAATTGACAGTGGTGGTGGTGGTGGGGGCCCTGATTTATTTTCAGGTGTCAGGGTTGTCGTTTTTTAGGCAGAGTATTGTGAAATCGAAGCGTCTGCGTTAGCTGTTCTGCTTTTGTGGATGGTTAATAATAGCAGCTCAGGGCCGGGGGTGTAGCTCAGTGGTTCCACCACTTGCCTCGCAAGCGCAAGATCCCGAGTTCGATCCCTGGGACCAAAAAAAAAAAAAAAATAGCAGCTCAACTTTGAATTCGGCAATGCTTTTCCTGAAAACTTCAGCCTGTATTTTAGTAGATGTATTTTGGGTATAAAATTGGGAACAGCCACATCTGTTTATTCAGCATTTGGAAAACAGTTTGTTGATTTCAGAGCTAGCAGTGTTCGAATTCCAATCCTAGTATTGTGAGGTTGTGTGTGTGTGTTTTGTTTTTCCTGCATTATGATCCATATAAATTCTAAATTCCTCAGCAGAATTTGTAAATATCTCTTTTAATTACAGAATACCTAGAAAATTTGTTTTAAATCCCCCCAGTTCTAAGCTGGGTGGGCTCTATTCTGTCTACCATCTCCTGGGAAAAACTTGTCAGTAACGTTCATTTAAAAAAGTTATCTTTTTCTCGCAGGCAGAGGAAGTCGCCTACAGCTTTGAACAATTGATATTCAAAACAGGAGTTAACTGCATTGAATAGGTTTATCTGAAATAGTGTTTCAGTGCAGGAAGGGCCTCCTTCATATGATGCTTGCTGATACTGCTTTGTGAATCAGCAGGAATTGTGTGGAGGGCAAATGTTGTCTCTGGAGTCTGCTGGTTTTCCCGGGTGTTATTGTAGCAGTACTTAGACCTGTGGTCCATATTGGACAAGCAGTGTGTCTATAAAAATACTCTTCT